GTTATTTTAAACATTTCCCTTTTAACTGCAAATAATGTCATGAGCAAGAAATGACATATTCGGTTACCAAACATGGAAGCGAATGATGGGTAAATATGACAGATGTTTGACAATTGTGATATCGGCGTGCGTTAAAAATGTTTGTATCCTCTACCCTCTATCTCACATCCCCACGCCCCGAACTTCGAGTCTCACAGAGAGGATCATAGTCTACCATACAGACCCTGAAACAAATATATCCACGAAAGCCGATGCAAGTTTAGAATATGTGGCAAGTCTAGATTTCCACAGTTTCAGGAAATGAAGAAAGTCTCAGGGCTCCTTTTCATTATATTTATCTGCATCATATGTTCATTTCAGAGGCTAGTTGTTAGTTTATAACCACGTAAATACGTTAAAATTCCCTCTCAGCATGTAGGTAAACCATCGCTACCTACATCATGAACCACTCAAAATTCAATATATAAACAACAATTCTTTGACGAACCACGTTTCTTTTCGGTCTAACCTCATAAAAAAAAAGGCTCAAACGTAACGGTAAATCATGAGACCTGTATCGCAAAAATAACGCCACACGGAATGTAATAAACATACAAGTCACGGTCCTGCAAGACGGGTACCTGTGTATAAATGTTATCACGACACCCCGTGTTTGGGGTTGTCTCTTATACACACATTTCTCCCCAAGGCACCGCGACTTAACAATAACCACACGAATAAATAATCTCGTGTCTTCCCACTCGGTATACAAGTTTAAATCTCCGGTAAAGTACGAACCCCGTATCTCGAACTTCGATGCAATATACAGTCATTAAAAAGATATTACAAAAGGCTACATGCATAGTCAGATGCAATGTACGATAACATCTGCAGAACTACATGTATTACTTAGGTGCAATGTACAATAACACCCGCAGATCTACATGTAGTACTTGGGTATAATGTACAATAACACCTGTAGATCTACATGTAGTACTAGGGTATAATGTACAATAACACCCCCAGATCTACATGTAATACTAGGGTATAATGTACAATAACACCAGCAGATCTACATGTAGTACTAAGGTATGATGTACAATAACACCCGCAGATCTACATGTAGTACTAGGGTATGGTGTACAATAACACCTGCTGATCTTCATATAGGACTAGGGTATAATGTACAATAACACCTGCAGAACAACATGTAGGATTAGGGTATAATGTACAATAACACCTGCAGAACTACATGTAGTACTAGGGTGTAATGTACAATAAAACCCGCAGGTCTACAAGTAGTACTAAGGTACAATGTACAATAAAACCCGCAGATCTACATATAGTACTAGGGTGTAATGTACAATAACACCTGCAGATCTACATATAGTACTAGGGTGTAATGTACAATAAAACCCGCAGGTCTACAAGTAGTACTAAGGTACAATGTACAATAAAACCCGCAGATCTACATATAGTACTAGGGTGTAATGTACAATAACACCTGCAGATCTACATGTAGTGCTAAGGTATAATGTACAATAAAACCCGCAGATCTACATATAGTACTAGGGTGTAATGTACAATAACACCTGCAGATCTACATATAGTACTAGGGTATAATGTACAATAACACCCGCAGATCTACATGTAGTACTAGGGTATAATGTACAATAACACCTGCAGATCTACATATAGTACTAGGGTATAATGTACAATAACACCTGTAGATCTACATGTAGTACTTGGGTATAATGTACAATAATACCCGCAGATCTACATATAGTACTAGGGTATAATGTACAATAACACCCGCGGATCTACATGTAGTACTAGGGTATAATGTAAAATAACACCCGCAGATCTACATATAGTACTAGGGTGTAATGTACAATAACACCTGTAGATCTACATGTAGTACTAGGGTGTAATGTACAATAACACCTGTAGATTTACATGTAGTACTAGGGTATAATGTACAATAACACCCGCAGATCTACATATAGTACTACGGTATAATGTACAATAACACCTGCAGATCTACATATAGTACTAGGGTGTAATGTACAATAAAACCCGCAGGTCTACAAGTAGTACTAAGGTACAATGTACAATAAAACCCGCAGATCTACATATAGTACTAGGGTGTAATGTACAATAACACCTGCAGATCTACATGTAGTGCTAAGGTATAATGTACAATAAAACCCGCAGATCTACATATAGTACAAGGGTGTAATGTACAATAACACCTGCAGATCTACATGTAGTGCTAAGGTATAATGTACAATAAAACCCGCAGATCTACATATAGTACTAAGGTGTAATGTACAATAACACCTGCAGATCTACATATAGTACTAGGGTATAATGTACAATAACACCCGCAGATCTACATATAGTACTAGGGTGTAATGTACAATAAAACCCGCAGGTCTACATATAGTACTAGGGTATAATGTACAATAACACCCCCAGATCTACATATAGTACTAGGGTATAATGTACAATAACACCCGCAGATCTACATATAGTACTAGGGTGTAATGTACAATAAAACCCGCAGGTCTACAAGTAGTACTAAGGTACAATGTACAATAAAACCCGCAGATCTACATATAGTACTAGGGTGTAATGTACAATAACACCTGCAGATCTACATGTAGTGCTAAGGTATAATGTACAATAAAACCCGCAGATCTACATATAGTACTAGGGTGTAATGTACAATAGCACCCGCAGATCTACATATAGTACTAGGGTATAATGTACAATAACACCCGTAGATCTACATGTAGTACTAGGGTATAATGTACAATAACACCCGCAGATCTACATATAGTACTAGGGTGTAATGTACAATAACACCTGTAGATCTACATGTAGTACTAGGGTGTAATGTACAATAACACCTGCAGATTTACATGCAGTACTAGGGTATAATGTACAATAACACCCGCAGATCTACATATAGTACTAGGGTATAATGTACAATAACACCCGCAGATCTACATATAGTACTAGGGTGTAATGTACAATAAAACCCGCAGGTCTACAAGTAGAACTAAGGTACAATGTACAATAAAACCCGCAGATCTACATATAGTACTAGGGTGTAATGTACAATAACACCTGCAGATCTACATGTAGTGCTAAGGTATAATGTACAATAAAACCCGCAGATCTACCTGTATCACTAAGGTACAATGTACAACAACACCCGCAGATCTTCATGTCTAATAAGATACAATTGTTGAATTACACTTGCAGATCTCCATGCATTACTCAGGTACGCGGTACAGTTAAACCAAGTCATTATTATTTTGATTATATTCCGTCCCAGGTTCTGAAAGAATGAAATCAGCTATACACTCACTAACCATTTTGATACGCTCATCTTTGGGTTTATCAGTCTTATTTCACTCACGACATGAAGTCTCCATATCCCACTCCAGACCATTCTCTTCCCACAGAGGTTACTTGTCATATCTCCCTACGAACCTCTGTTCTAATACGGCCATATTTCCCGGTTCTCGTACAATCCCCTAGCGGCAAAAGATCGCAACACGAATTATTTCCCTTCTTTCTATCCAATCAGAACACGTGTTACATCGACTTAGATTCAACTTGACTAACACAAGCAAATGCGGGGCTACAAATATCCCCCATCTGCCGGGGACTTGTGTTGATGTTACACACAAGACGTTTAATGGCTAGCTTGTCCGTTGTCAACGAGGGCGATGGAGACGCCACTGATCCGCCATAACATGACTGAGTTCTGTCTAGAAGAAACGTTTGCGCATCGCGCAGGGGAAGAAGTTTAGTTTTCTCGAAGCATACGGAAATTACCGAGGCCTTGCAAATGATCCCTTTTGAAACAACGTCGCTGATTGCACAACTAAATCTGATTGCCTCCAATCACGAGTCTTGAACGCTCACACCATGAAAGGGCCGTACTAGAACAGAGGTTACGTAGGAAGATATGACAGGAGTAACCTCTGTGGGAAGAGAATGACTCCAGACCAGAGTGAGTGCATATTGCTCAACGCCGCACCTTTTGACCAGAGAAAGTACGTAAATATCCAGGTAATGAGTATTCTGTGCGACTATTCATGTCAAATCCATTGCCACAACACTGACGAGGGTCACTGATAACACTGCACTGTGGTTTGATCTGACCAGTGACTTCTTCAGACACAACCCACACAAGTTCGTCAAGGTTAGCTCACAGGTTTCATTCATGAGTATTCGAGAGTTAATGCCCTCATCTATAACACACACATATTAATTGGTGAACATCAAATGAAACATTTGTACAGTGACGCTTTGGTAACAGTCATGAGTCTACAGAGTTACCTCGTCACAGAACCATCAAGAGGTCCTTATTCAGTTCTGTTGATGCCTCTCATTTGGGGGATGCATTGGATACAGCCAGGCTTTGTCCGACTTGTGACTGTCGGCGTATTGTCGGGTGATAACTTGTTATAGGGCCAGTCATCCTATTCTTTCAATAGGGACCAAGTCATTTATATTTTTCGTCACTGACAAAATATACACAAAAAACTTAGTTAAGCACCCCCTGACATATCTCACGATTGAATGAGCCCCGATATTAACCCTCTGGGGCATATCTGGGACATGTTTGGTCGTCATGAGCAACAAAGGGATCATCCTCTACAGCACCCGGCCCAATTGGAAGCTACTTTACACGAGGAATGGCGTAGACTGCCCCCTCAGAGCACCAGGAGGCTGACAGGAAGTTACACTCTGTATTGACCTTGAATCGTGTAAGACAGGCAAAAAGCCACATTAAACATTAAACAAGGGCCATACTTGAACAAACATGGTTTTGTATGAAAATTAGTGTGTGTTTGTTTCTAAATGAGCAATTATCATCATAAAATCAACATGATTCCAATCATTTTGTCGTTTTTTATGGGTCAAATGATCATGCGGGTCAGAAAAATACTCATGTATTTCCATCGTGGTCACCACGAGAAGTTTTATGTACGTGTTGAAAACCTACTCACTGCAAAAATACAGGTGGTGCTTAATTAAGTTCTTTGTGTATATTCGTTACGTTGTCTCTTTTTTTTAGCAACATTTCACTGCCAACTTTGGCCAATTTGTTTTTCTGAATCACATTCCTCTTTCTCCAGGATATAACATGGCCATATGAACCAACTGGGTAGTAAAGTTACAAACGAATACACCAATCCCGATGGTATGTCTACAAGCCTTCTATAAATAGAAATAGGTCTGTGTGATGCCAAGTTTTGCAGCGTCTCTGGGACTTGGCGGCACCAGGGCCACGCTCTCCCCTGAGATAGACTTGTCCAGCATGTGTTCGCCGATCTCCTGGATCTGCTGCGCAAATTTGAATTTAAACTTTATGTCTCTATTGAACACTGGAGCCTTCTTTTCACACAGCCGCATTGCACTCTTCATCAGAGTGATGGGGAACAGGTCATGGCTGTTGAGAGCAAGCTGGAACGAAAGAGGCGACGAGAGCGGAATCTCGATCAATGTGAAACCGGAAGCGTTCAGTACGCATGCCACGACGGTTCTCTCCTCGAACGAGTCCAGTAGAGTGAACAGCCCTGAAAACTGAGTGAGCCTCGGTTTGTTTCCTCCGTACACATATCTGACCACCATCGGGAACTTCTGGCTGGTGATGATGTCTGCCGATCTTAGAGAAAGTTTCCCATCCATGAAAGGATTCGGTAGAATCTCAGTAAATTCACCCGGATGATTGATAGCAATGATGACGTCATTCTCCCGCTCATCTCGACACTTCAGATAATGCAGCTCTTGGACATGCAAGGAATTTTTGGCACGGATGACCTTGGGATCTGGTTTGACTTTGGTGGCTCCCATGATGACCTTGTCGATGATGAAGATGTTTCCAGGTGTGTACTCCACTCGGGGGTAGTCGCTGGTGTTTCTGTTAGGTGCTGACAAGTGGAACGCTGTGATGTTTGTGAGGTTGAGGAAGGCTGGAACTCGACAAGCGACGAGGGACTCGATGGAGCGATGGACTGTATGGTCCTTGGCCGTACGAGACTTTAATCTGACGAACCGTCCTGCAAGGAGAAGCGATACAGTCAACAAATAGCACATATGTATATAACCTACATAATGAAGACATGACTCGGATGTAATCCTGTTTTAGCAATATTCCAGGAGATACACCAGAAAGAGGCTTCACATACTGTTTTGTTGGTTTCCTTGTTATGGGAAATCCATGCAACATTCCAGTGATATAACGACTGCCTGTAAATCATAGAGTCTGAGGATGCAATCGGCTACGTTAGACCATCTGTTCCATTAAGTCCTACGTCCTCTTAGAATGAGTTTCCTGGTGACAAGTATTATTAGCAGGATTCACCATGCGTGTAAAACGTATTCGGGAAAATATTGGGTCACAAAATCGTATTATGGCTAGGGTGTTTGTTGTTTTACATTAAGAAATCATCTCTATCAATATAAATTGTGTGTCCGTATTATCAGCTGATCTTCCATGACCTTCTCAGTGATACCCAGATGATGAGTCCAGCGACAGCATGAACATACTCTCTATGCAAATGTAGATTTGGGTCAAATTGGGGGTCTGTGAAGGTGGGATCTGTCAGGAACATGAGTAACAAAAAAAAACAATACCATCGATATCATTGCCTTGTCGTTAATATGCAAGCACAGACCCATCACATATTTAGCTAAACAGTCTACTACCAGTCTCTTGCTAGAGGTTCTCCTACGTAACCAGTCCATCAACCTGCGATGATCTTCCCTACGTTTAAAGATGAAGTGTAACACTCCGCAACTATTGTTTACCATATGCTTCCAATCTATGGTCGCCATACTGTACTGTATATGCATGTATCAGATAGAACTAGATATATTTGTTGATATCTTGACATAAACAATATATATTTTACATATACACAATGTCGCGCTGCTGTTTCTTAAAGTTATTACTTCAATAAACGGATCAACATAACCGTTTGTCCTCTAATGCCGCTTTAAGGGCGCCGTCCTATGGCTCCCATGGCCATTGAGATGCTAATCTAGATTCTGATGCATGTGGGGAGTCCATTGGTCAGCACTCACTTCACTGACCACACTGTCTCTGGGTGTCGACTACAGCAGGATACTGACATGTACATGATGGCTATCTGTGTTATTGACCATCGATAACCACGGGAGATTTCCACGGCAGCATTATAGCTGTAGTGTGTACCCCAAGGACGCCGGGAACATCTATTCCCATCGACAAAAGGTCAGCTGAGAGCGATGAACGAGGTTGTTGTTGTCGTACAATTCCTGTAATCCCTTGGACTGACACCAGTTCCTATGCATACTTTGTCACTTTTTATAAAACGAATAGGTTTTCGTGATGTATCATAAACAGTGAAGTATGTGCTGCCTTTAAACCTACAATGGTCTTAAGTGTAGACAATTCAAGAGTGGGTGGAGCTTATGTGCCACGCCACATACAAGTCAATGTAGGTTTAAGGCCACAACGGACGTACAGTTAACTTCATTAATTGCACATAATTCTGTAGGCAAACCTTCAGTCTTGGAAAATATATTCATATAGTCTGTCGGGGTTAATATTTTCCCTTCCACCCACCCCTTTCTGCAATGCTAAAAACTCTAAATGAACAAAGTCTAGATTGTCTCAGGTTCAGTGTCTCCCATCTCACTGGGGCTCCTTTTCAAATTCAATGGAATTATTTGTTTCAATTAAAATTATATATAATCAGAGACTACGGGTCAGTCTAATACTTATACATTATAGTTTGATAGAAACAGGCAACTATATTTACCCCGAAAGAAGCCTTCGTGAGAACCTGTGAAAAATATATACTTGATTTATTTAGAGTTCTCGTTATAGAGTGAGGATTGCTCGGGTGGGTAAATATAGTTCGAGGACTGTTAGACAGACTAATAATTAGAAAGAAAGGATTGGCAAGGTTACTCATTTTGGTGTCATCGGTTTTAAAACAAATTGGTTTACTCGTTATGTACAATCAGCTTTAATCGCTTATCTTCAATGCTCAGTGTACAGCCCAAAATAAACACGGTACCTAGTCGTGTAATCCTCATCAAGACTGAAGCAGGTGAATCGAGGTCGGAAGTTGAAATATGGAAATGCTGACTTACTGTAATCCCTTCAGAATCAGGGTAGGGGAGATCACTCTATCTTCCCACTCGCTCACACCCCCACTCACATCTACGAATATATATGTATATTATCTGTGTAAGCGTCTGGGTGGAGTACGTGTTCACAATACTAATACTCTATGTTATACTACTTATGAGGGTGTGGAAGGCAAACTCTGCATGTACACCACAACTTTGTCCTCTAAGTGGTCGTGGCGTGGTGTCATAGTTTAAGGGCGACGTGGAAGTGGTCGTGAATCACTGTGCGGACTTGTGTCCCTTAGGCTGTTTAAATCCCAGATTCATTCTGATAATGTTTCGAGGTTTACCAACATATGACCTGTGTTCCTGTGCTTTTTTCTCGAGTGTTACACGTCTGGGCCTAGATTTTCGAAGCTCTCTTAGCGCTAAGATAGTCGTAGGTTAATGTTAATGTATGGCACTTACGACTATCTTAGCGCTAAGAGAGCTTCGAAAATCTAGGCCCTGATACCAGCAAAACGTCGGGCTTTCCTTCGACATTTAACGGACACACCGTAATATAAATGAAACAATTTCCATGGGGGCGTTGAATCAAACCCACTGTATAACTAAATGGAGTATGTAAAGAATAGGGACTTGTTGAAAATACTCCCTGCAGTGCAGATATACAGACTCAAAAAGAATATAATCCCCAGGAGACTCTCTGCATAATGAACAGGAATGTCGGATATCCCATTACACCTGCAGGTTGATATCTGCCTCACATGTCGCTCCATCATTGAGACACTCGTCAGCAATGCATGCATGAAGGACCGGCGTCAACACACCACCAACTACCTGTATCCCGGGGTCTGGTATATTGTGTTTGGTAATGAATGGACCATTGTGTTGTACATGGTTTATGTAAATGGTCCTAGAAGTCTCCCACTGTTCTGGTGCATGGCCGTGTATGAATATGTCAGTGTGCAATGTAGTCGCCGCTCAGGTTATGCACGTCGTCATGCACTGAGAAGACAAGATGGAATATAGTCTGTCTCACAGTCCCTGAACCACACTTTTTTCCCTACTGCCTAGCCCTCCCTGCAATGCTAAAACCCTATATGAAGCATGTCTAATTTCCTAAAGTTTCTGTCATCTCAGTGGGACTATTGTTCAATTTAAATGGGATTATTTGTCAGTATCAAAATTATATTCAGAGACTAAGCTTTGGTCTAGATAGACCACCGACTCTTAATCGGCCTAGACTGCCTTCACTGCTAGGGTCTGTACATTGTGTATGTCTTGATCAATGGACAGAGTTGTAACCAGACATTACTGTTATTAGTGGCGCAGTATTGTTAAACTGATGAATGGCGTTTAGCACAAGACTACAGTGGACTCTGTCTAAATGAACATCTGGGCACTTCTTCACTATCTCAGAAACAGCATTTATCCATGGGCAAAAAACATAACTTTAAACATTCGTTTCAGTATTTAAAGCATAATTTTAAATATCATTATTTAAGAATAAAGTATTACGGCGTCATTAATATTATTTAAAGTATTAAGCATATATATATATATATATTTAAGTATGAACACAACATTTTCTAAAGTATTGAGTTATCAAAATAACGTATTCAAATATCATAGCGTAAACATTATATCATGTGGTTTCCCACCATTATATTGAGTAAATACCATTTTCAGCACTCAAACAGGGACATGAATGTGATTGTACATGCGTTAAGTGTCTAATGGCTTACAAATCACGTTATAATGTTATTTTCGGGTGATACAGTGGTGCATCGTTAAAGTTGGAGTGGATGCGCGATCTGTTGCATACTTCCGGTACAGAACCCCGTGAGACTTAAGTCAGGTAGAGACACAGAAGATGTTTGTTGTTTACATTATTGTCCGAGTATTGCATTCTCTAAACGTTAGATCTGAAGTAAACCATACTGCACAAAGTGACATATACCCGTGTTTGTGGGTTTCACAAAAGCAAAAGAATTAACACGTGCAGGTCAAATGATTATGACAATGATATGGGGGAAATAATGTCTTGATTTTATCGTGCTGTATTCTCTAGCTGACACAATACACCTGGCCTCACACAATGTGCTGTATTGTCTAGCTGACACAATACACCTGACCTCACACAATATGCTGTATTGTCTAGCTGACACAATACACCTGGCCTCACACAATGTGCTGTATTGTCTAGCTGACACAATACACTTGGCCTCACACAATGTGCTGTATTGTCTAGCTGACACAATACACCTGGCCTCACACAATGTGCTGTATTCTCTAGCTGACACAATACACCTGACCTCACAAAATGTGCTGTATTCTCTAGCTGACACAATACACCTGACCTCACACAATATGCTGTATTGTCTAGCTGACACAATACACCTGGCCTCACACAATGTGCTGTATTGTCTAGCTGACACAATACACCTGGCCTCACACAATGTGCTGTATTGTCTAGCTGACACAATACACCTGGCCTCACACAATGTGCTGTATTGTCTAGCTGACACAATACACCTGGCCTCACACAATGTGCTGTATTGTCTAGCTGACACAATACACCTGGCCTCACACAATGTGCTGTATTGGCTAGCTGACACAATACACCTGGCCTCACACAATGTGCTGTATTGTCTAGCTGACACAATACACCTGACCTCAAACAATATTCTGTATTGGCTATCTGAATGAGACACCTGATCTCACACAATATTCTGTATTGGCTATCTGAATAAGACACCTGATCTCACACAATATTCTGTATTGGCTATATGAATGAGATAACCTGATCTCACACAATATTCTGTATTGGCTATCTGAATAAGACACCTGATCGCATGACACAGATTGGCTCAAGTTACGAATGCTAAAGTTTTACTCCCAAAGCTATTAAACAAGGAATACACAATATGGATCT